GAGGGAAGTGCGAGCGTTTGTAAAAATGGTCAGGATATTTTCAGAGACAGAGAGTTTGCTTTTTTTCCTTTAATAATTATTTCCCCTTTTTTTCCCACATAGCAACGCTTTGCTGTTCAATTTTCACCTCCATCTGTGTGATTATTAATCAGATCACACATCAATTGCCAGAACCAGCAAAGAAATTCAGCCTGTAATAAAACTGTCATGTGCTGTGGTATAAAGACAGATGTTGCCAGTTGTGTGATAACATAATTAAACTGTTCTGTGAGGGATTCCATAAAATTATTCAAATTGGACGAGCACTATCATTTTACCAATAAGCAATTTAGGGCAATATGCAGTGTCATAACACTGATGTTATCCTCTCTGCCAGATTTTCCAATAAGCCCGAGCCTTTGCTTGGCCTCCTGTGACAGTATGAACAGTATACATGAAGATACGTGAGAGCTGCTAGAGATGCTGGAGTGTCCTTTCAGTGTGATGCACAAACCTCTGCACCACGAAGCCACTATACTGCAGCGAAGCGATTGGTCAAAAAGAACACACACACAGAGAGGACGGCTTTGTCATTCATGTGAAATATTCAGCATTGCACTGCACACGTCTATCTTATTCTGCTGTAGAGCAAATACAGAGATACTGGCAGGAATTCAATTCAAAGGCGCAGCGATAAGGGTGCGTTCTTCTTGTGTAACAGTGTATGTATTTCAATCTGGGCATAGCACGCTCTCTCTTTGCCCTCAGCTCTGCTGCAGAGTGCATACGATTAGCAGAGATCTGAGGCAGAAAATGCTCTCTGGCCTCCTCTCTGACCTGGTGCTGTTAACTCTCTCAGTCTGACCATTAGCCCATAATGTGGACTGGACGCCCAAAACCAGCAGGTCCTACACTTAAAGGCCTGACCTTTGCAACTCCATTCTACGTGAGCATATATATACTATTCACGTCTGTGTGTGCGTACTGGGAGAGCAAGGCTAATCATGGAACACTTGGCCATCAGAGAACAGTTAAGATTTGCAGTTCCACCTTCACAAGCCCCCACAAGGGACAGTGTATGATTTGAATTATGCAAGCAGAGGATGTGTGCCCACTCAGCTCTTTCTGTGGCCACTGTTATGGCCGTCAACCTCACGAAAGACATCTCAACCACACAGGCAGCGAGGAGGAAAACGAAAGAAGTAGTTAGCCGGTCTTATCTTTCAATATGTAGAAAATCTTTAAAAGCACTTGTTGGACAGGGTATGTTAGATGGATGTGCATGCAATAAAAGAAAAGCAGTTATTAATCATTGTTTTAGGTATTTTCTCTCGTGTGAACACCAGCCTAAGTTTATTAAAAGGACTCTTGTAAAGGACAGGATATTAATATTTAATGCTCTACAGTTGCATCACACGAACCAAATTTAGAGCGAAAGAGTAACTCGTGTGTTTAAACAGGTAAGATGCTTTGCTGAAAATGACCACACATCACAGGAAATGTGAATATCGTGAAGACAGCAGCTCTAGAGCTAACAGGGTGTCCTTGAGAATATTACTGTCACCGTGCATTTATGTGATAACTACAGCTGCACAACACCGTTTCCTGTTGCAAAATCATTTAAATCACAAATCACATAACAGGTTATTGCAAAACTTTTTCATACTATTGCTTTTGTTTTATTTTCGCCCCTGCAGTATCTTCACTTCCTCATGTGGATAACGTTAAAACCACAACTTCTGCAACACAAACAAAAACAGAAAGCAAATAAACAGTGTGGTTCAGGGGTGCAGACGCGTGTGCTATGAAAAGAAAAAAACTGCACATGCTATAATAGAGACATTTATTAATAATACATGGGTAACAGTGAACACAACGAGCACAGCAACAAGATGCACAACAAATGTTTACAAGGGCACCCAGTTGTCTAACTATTACAACACAACAGACAGGACATTGAGTTCCTCCTATAGAGAAATCGGCTGAATTTCAACAGCATCTTGGGGAAAAAAGAGAAGAAACGCAACACCTTTTTCACCCTAAAAAAATATTTGACTTACTAATAGACATGCTTAATTCAAGCTTATGGTCCACTTCCCCCAAATCTGACTAGTCAACAAGATGAATTCCCCTGTCAGAATCAAGATGATCAAACAGATTACAATTATTTCATCCCCCATCTTTATTAATGAGGACTGTCTTTCATAGTTATGTTCCCTAATAAGAATAAATGATATGCCACTGCCAGGTTTGTTGTTCCGGCTCACTCGAGGGACTCTCAGACATTTGCACTTTGAGTCTGAAAACATTTTAGATTGATTTTTGCGTCACCTAAAGGGGTAATGGCACCTTGCATGTGTTGTGGAGAACAAAGAACGCAGGAAAAAAAACTCTCAGTGTGTCAGTTAGAGGCATATTAGTGCAAGCCACAAATAAAACTTAAAAGAACGACTGTGAAATGTCACAAAAGTAAAAAGTTATCGAGTAACTGAGTGAAGATCGTAATGCCCCGGGGACAATTAACATGGTTCATGGTGCGTGAGGGAAAATCCTCGGCTAGGCTAATGGGAGAATAAAAAGACTGCCTGCCTGTCTTGCCAGTAACACTACCATGGTAAGTAGCCTATCAAAGTCCAGTGCCAGGAGCTGAGAGTGAGACATCTCGTCCTTCGTTCCCATCCGCGCGTCATTTATCACAGGCAACAATTAATACACCTCCCTGCATGCGGGCCACACAAATTAACCACTGGATTTGTTCAAACGGCATGAACCAAGAATTATTTCCGCATTTGCTACAGTAGAGAGAATGTTTCCGCAATATATGGAAGCAGGATGGAGAGAGTTGCTGGTTTCTCCTTTCTTTAAATGCCAGGGCAGATGCTGGAGAGCAATAGTTCTTTTTGGACGACTTGAAAACAGGGAGCATGCTTGGACGACTGGCTCTATTCTAGTGGGAAGGCTTTATTTCCATCCCTTGTTGGTGTCAAGTGCACATCCATGACATTTTTCTCGCCCGTTCTCTCCCTCTCCCCTGCCTCGCATTTATCAAAGTTGTAACCCTGTTGTCTTTGCAGAGCGAATCAGAATGTGCCCCTGGCAAAGAATGAAGGAAAAGTCAACAGGAATTAAGTTTCACTGCAACTGTTTACTCAACTGTGGCCTGCAGTTATTGAAATTTTATCCATGGTTTTGTGTGACTACTGCAGTAATGAATTCAGTATGGCTGTGATTTTCTCACTGACGACATGCTCGTTCGGAGCTGGAAAAAAGATGGGTGGGAGGTGGGGTCTGGGGTCTAGCTGGGGTAGTGGGGATGATCTGGAGAGGCCTAAAGGCTTCACAGACTAAGGCTGAGAATCAGAACACACACTGACTCATCCTTTGTACTTACTGAACAATCAACACTTCTTCTACCACTTACAAAGAGGAAATGGAATTAACAGGGGCATCTTGCACCAAAACAAGCACCACACTTCTAAGATGACGACACCTAAAGCATTATTTTGCTTTGAGTGTATGTTTGACCAATTAATTATATTTACATACACCCATACTCGACAATAAAAAGGGAAAAAACAAACTTTTTTTAAACAATTCAAAAACATGACTACTGACAAATAGTGACCTTACAGGGTTGTGCCAGTCCAAAGCCCAAAAGCTCCTGTAAAATTAGTGACTTATTGTTCCTGATTTTACAGATAAATAAATGCTAAACAAGTTAAAATTTGTAGTAAAGAATCATGCAAACGTTATGACTTCATTTAATTTGACCTGTTCAATGCTTACATGGATTAAAACATCCCTTCTGATATATCAATACATGGTAGTTTCCCTTTCGCGGTGGTACTGGGAAATAAATCCTCCAGTATCTCTGTCCTCCTGTGTGCAGAGCTACAGACTGGTACCCCTGCTGTTCTGCCTGTGCTAGCACATGATCAGCAATTAGCATTATAGCGAGGGGAAAGTGCTATAAGTGCATATAGCTGGTGTTACAAAGTTCCTGGCAAAAGCCCTGGTCATCTTACTGCTGAAGTGAAACCTGAGCTACACATCTGAAATTTCACAATAAAATTTATGTTATGTCTAAACGTCACCTAAAATGCCAAGCAATGACTCTTTAAACGGCTAAGCTATTTTGTCCTATTATCAAAATGTTCCCATCATTTCCGAAAAACAGAACTGTTCATCAGTAGCCGAATATCACAGCATCAGAACACCGTGATGACTGTGTTCAAAGATGATAAATGATAATACTGAGTTATTGCTCAGCTCTATGTGTTACAATGCCATTTCCCTCTTGTTCCATGCTACAGCTTTGTTTGCCTCCCTGTAAAAATGCTGATGGATGCGCTGTGACAACAGACAGCGGCACAGAGCCGTGCATCATCACCAAACAGCTCCTGACAACAACCCTAGTTGTGCTGTCGCAAAGACCAAGATAGTAGAAGACACACTGATCTTTTCAGTGTTGTTTCTTTAAACGCAGTGTCGTGTGCCACACATAACGCTGACACCAACAGAAAGAGCTTGTCTGTTTGCCTCAAGTCTGAGATGGTGAAAATGTTTCGGCTTCACTGACGATAACGCCGGCGTCTGTCTCCTCACCTCATTGGTTAGTACAGCAGAGTGTGGCATTAGTTGTGAGTGTGAGGTGTGTTTACAATGAGCCGGAGGAAAACGCTGTCATCCAATTGGATGTCACAGTTCCTTAACTGTCTACAAAATCCTGTGGCACCTACATACTTAAAATATGTCAGAACATCATAATAAATATTTGATGGAAATGCAGATGCTGCATGCTACGATAAACACGTTTGCAACCAAACAATCACACAGAAAGAGCACTCCTCGTCTTTTAAATATTCAAAAAGGGGCCTCAGTATACATAAATAATAATAATAATGTGTTTATGAACTAGATGTACTTTGAGGAGGAATTAAATATTAAGAGGCACTTTAAGAGGCGGATCGGCCTGCTGTTGACATGGCTTAATAAAGTGAAGACAGGTGTGAATGGTCTACCTGGTGCTGCTGGAGATGCAGGAAATCTGCTGCAGTCACTTCCACTGACGGCGTGGCACTTTTTGGTCGCCCCTCTCTGGGTACTCCCTCCACGCTCGCTCCTCCATTCTCATTGGCTGGGCCGTTGCTCGTTGCCTCCGTCCCAGATTCTTGCATCATGACTTAAAAACCTGAGAGAAGGCGCAGAAGAAGAGAAAACAGGGACAGAGACAGAGAGAAGCAGCTGTTAAAACACACTGCAATGAGGTCGCATTTCAACTGTGGGCCAAACTATAAACATCTGTCATATTCTTCCCACACAATTTCACTTTTGTTGCAGGTTTCCCTGTTGGTTTGTGCTTCCCCGTGTCTTGTTTGTTTGCGTGTAGCATATGCAATGAGGCAAACACACACACACGCATTCACAGGCTGCCTCTAAACACAGTAATGAACAGCTCCTTTGTTTTGTCTTTTCCAGTGCAGATCCTTTACAGATGACAAGTCCATACCGGGCAGGAGAAAAGCGAGTGGGTTTTGTTTGTATCCTTCAGTATAGGGTATATGGAGAGCGTCGGGGGGGGCATGGTGGAGGGGTTGGGGTTCGGCACACATGTAGAGGAACCCAACCTGCGTTGAGTGAGAGCAGAGGAGCCCAAGAAAACACTGGACCTCCAAAACAAAACACTTTCTATGGAAATGGATATATTTACTTGCATGGCTCCCTGAAGAACCACGGCAGAATGGCTTTTTAATGGGAAACAGAGCGACTGTGTGAGGCCTGCCAAAGGATCTCCATGAGAAACATCCAATCTGAGGCTGAACGAAAACAGTCAAATCCTTGAGGGGTGCTCAATTAACACCAAAACACAGGTCTGAATATAAATAAATCCTTTTGCATTGGAAAAAAATGTTGACTTTCATAACTTAATCTAACTGAAAAGGGTAAAATACAAACACTGGCAGTCGTTTTAAGCACCACTGCACGCTTTATGTAAAATTATGGCAGCAGCAATCAGTGAATACACAGCTATTTGCTTACAAGATATGTCCTCAGTTTTGTTTTTGGATACACAAAAGCCAGACAGACATGCCATCTATCCCAGCACACCCCCTCTGTCTCTCTAGGGATAAGTGCCAGTGACACTGGTGCATATCTGTGCCTGAATTCCTCAAATCAGTGGAATGATTTACAGCTATTGTGTGCTGGTCACAGGCTTCATTGCTGCAATGCATCTATCCCCCCAATTCCAGGGCAGTTAATGAAGCTGACCAAGTCAGGCAGAAGCAAATTAACTTGGCTGATTAATTATTTATATGAAGCAGAATAAATGCCTTTAAAACACTGAGCCTCATCATGAAAGAATGTGAAAGTGGAACTAAATGCAGATTTATGGTGCTGCATTTAACGCATGTAATAGGAAGGCCAGTCTGAGTTTATATGTGCTCAGGTACACATGCACAGCGTCTCCAGAGATCCCATCTAAACAAGATACAGACACACACCCAAGGGGACACACACTCAGGCTGACAGACAGGAAATTGGGGTTGACAACTTGTCACAAAAGAATATTTACAGAGCAGAGGTGAGATAATAATCTAGAAATGGGATTATTTAAAAAAATAAACAGTGGTGTGAGGAGAACTGCGCTTTCAAAATCAGTTTTTTTTAGGGGCAGGCTCGTAGCTCACTATCATCAGCAGCAGTTTGGGGCTAAGAGGAGCTAAAACTGTACCAGAACACAAAGCAAACTCCAAAGAGCATTATAGTTTACATTTCCTCTCAGCCCTCCTCGCAAGAAGCATGACTGAATGAGTCATCTGACACTGTGGCCTGTGCCGGTTCAGTTGTGTGTCACAACGCCCCCACACTCAGGGGCCTGTCTGAGCAGCTTGGGCCCGGCCTACAGGGCCTGTTCTTTGGGCTGGAGCTTGAGCTGGCCCCCCTCTCCCTCCAGACAGATGTTGACCCGGCTCACCCTTCCAGTCTGGCACAGCCTCCCTCCATAATGGGATTTTCTAAACAAGGAGTGAGCAAGAGGAATACTGTGGGATGGGACCCAGCCAGCCACAACTCCATCTACAGGCCCCTGCCTGCACCAACTCCCCTTCTGAGACACCAATTAGAAACACACATTCTCAGGCGAAATTAAATGCCATTTGAAATAAACCATGTGCTGACGTTATTCACCCCCACTTATTTTTCAAATAAAAGATATTTTCCACTTGCGGGAAAAAAAGAGCTGTCTTTTTCTTTTTTTTTCCTCTCTAAAGCTACATAAGGGGGGGAGGGGTAATGGCTATTATACATGCACTGTCATTCCATGCAAAAATTTTCATAATTGTAACGGAAAGGCGTAAATTTCCAAATGCACAGCATCTCCAAAAGTAATCAAGAGAATGAGCCGCGGGGCTATTTTAATGTATGCAAAACTAGTGACCCACAATAAAGGAGAGGAAGGCTACAATGAATGCAAAGTAATGCGCGCATGCTTGCGACCGGCACTGATGAGGGGATGGCTAAAATTAACACCCAATTAATTTTCGAATTGACAAACAAATGAAACCCATAAATCTAGTTTCTCATTAATTTTAGCACAGAATAATTCAAAGCTGCAATATCATGAGTGAAAAAATTGGAGGGAAAAAAGAAAATGGAAAATGGGCATTATCCATCATAAATATCAAGCAGATAGGAAAGAGCCTTATTAGAGAGTTGTGCTGATAACAATGTTAATCTGTGAAGCACTGAGGCACGGACACCATCATCATCAGCTGAGGCCCGGGCAACTTGGCCACGTGACTCGGCCCTGAGTTTGTTTATCTATGTATTTATTTTCACTTTGTTGGGTGAGCCTTTGTGTGTGTGTGTGTGTTGTGTGTGTGTTGTGTGTGTGTGTGTGTGTGTGTGTGTGTGTGTGTGTGTGTGTGTGTGTGTGTGTGTGTGTGTGTGTGTGTGCGATGATGATGACGATGACTCGAAAAGCTCCAAGTTTTTCCATTTGTTCCATTTATACACCACGTGCAAATTCAACTGTAATTATGGGTCAAGCATCATGCTAAATGGGGTGTAGTTACTCGGTTTAAGAACATATGCATTCGTGGTCCAAACACAAACATTTCAACATAATAAAATACACAAAAGGAGACGTGAGGGGGAAAAAAGAAAAAGAAAAGCTCTCTTATTATTAATGGAGCATGTCAGTTTTTTCGGAGCTGGAAAAAAAAGTTTAAAAAAACAAAAGAGAATGAAAATAATGGAAATTCCAGGAGATCAAAACAAGGCAACAACAGTTTGTACAAAGAGAACTAGCTGTGCTGTTGATTATTAGATGCCTGCCTGGTCTTTAGGGGGGAGTTGCTTGCAAAATAAAACAAGTGTTTGGAACAAACACTGGATAATAAAAAAAGGTCAGAGTTCCTGTTTGTTTACAGTTTGTTTTGTTTTCCCTGCTTCAAATGGCATAGGGAGTACAGTACAAACAAGAGTCACATGGGTCTCCCACCTGACCAGACAGGTTGAAGGTTAAGAACAGCCAGCGGGCCAGAGCTCATCACCACAATGGAAATCCAATGCCTGTCCCCCTGTCATGCCTGCCCGGAATTCAACAGCTCAAACGAGTCAGCGGTGGATTCAAGGTAGGGCTGGTCCGCGCAGCTGTGCTCTGACCCTTCTCCGTGTTCTGTTTTTCTCTAATGCTCATGACAGCAAAGCCTCGGCAGCCACCTGCTTCGATTCGCCAAGTTCTCACACAGACGTTGTTTACAGAAGCACACAACAAAAGCACATCATTTCTTGGGTGGGAGATAATGACATACAAAGGAGGACACAATAGGGAGAAGTTCACTTTAGAGCTGTTTAGGTTCAGCTTGGTTGCCAGACTAGACAACACATCGGCGTGCACCAAAGGTGCAACAACAGAATGCTTCTGAAGGTTGCTCAACAGGCTTGTGTTTTGCTGTATTTTGGCTCCTGATGTGAGGGAAAAGTCGAAAGACAAACACAAGCTGCATGTTAAATAATCCATTATCGCAGCCCTCATCACTGATAACAAACTACTCTGAGTATCTCTTGAAAATATTCCGCTGGACAACACAACACGGAGAAATTGGGCTAAACTCCAACAAGCTTTATAAACTGCACTCCCACTCCCTCATACATATCATCTCCACACAGCAGAACCACCTCAGTCACAAAGCCTGAAAGTGGATCCAGTTGCCGCTCCTCTTCTGAGAGAAACGAACGGCCGTGGTGACATTCTGCCAAAGGAGACTTCACAGCCAGACCAAACAACCGTGTAATCTTGTCAGCCACTTCAACCAAGTCACAGATAAGCAAAGCATATCTCCAGACCTCTCTGACAATATAGAAGTAAAACACGCTGCACCCACCCTTCTGCAAATAATACCCCCATTGCAAATCCTAGATTTCTGCTCCACAAGAGACACAGAAGTTCTTCCCAGACCTTGTACAGGGTATAAGCAGGCCACTGACACCAGCAAACAAAGCAGCTGTTTGTTTAATAAGTGATTGCTGCCATGGCTACAGTAAACACGAGGAGCAGGGGTTTGTGTTTATGAACAAACACATCTCCTTGCAGGAGCCATTTAATATTAACCAGGTGAAATGATCAGCCAATTTCCTAGGTGACACTGGGGGCAGGCAGAGCGTAAACAGGTTCTAGGAGGGGAGAAGGAGGGGCGAGGCTTTAGGGAATCAAGGTCGATGCAAACGCAGCTTTGACTAGAATAAACAGCGAGGCAAAAGTCAAGATAAACAAAAAGTCATTCTTCTGACATTTCGAGACGCATTAGGCTGGCGTGTTGCAGCTGCTCGCAAGCCACCGTGAATGAGAACAAGATGGGGGTGACGGGCGGGGTGGGCAGCCATGGGGGTGGTCTCCTATGGAAACACATCATTGTCAAGCAAAGCAATCGTGTGTTTCTTCCAGGCCCAACAAACAGTGGCGCTTCACAACAGCACAGCGAGGAACTTGTAAAAACATGTTAAACATTTACCTCATTCAATTATTCAGTAACTGGGTTTGTGGAAATAACAAAGGAAGTCTGAGGGCTCCCAGAGATGGCACTCACTACACCAGGGCATGGAGAGAAAAACAACAAAGAAGGAATTAGGTGGAACTGAGCAAGAAAAGATGTTATCCTTCATAAATCACAGCGCCTGGTTTTGATT